ACACAGGTAGCAAGCTTCGGGGAATCTTTCAATACTTTTTCGAGGGCTAATGCCGTAGTACGCACACAATTTTGGCACCGAGCTCATTTATAAAGTGCCAAGGTCACCAAATCCGCTGAAAACTCGTGTACGTGGGTAACTTAACATCCTGATTACGAATATGTTACTCATTCTTGGCACTGGCGCCAAGCGAGGACACTACTATTACCTACCGGGCTCAGCCTTAGCATCGCGTAGATAATCGTAGTGCCATTCATTAGCGCCAGCGCCAAGAATGAGTGTAATATTCGTAATCTTCATGTTAAAACGCGCTGACAAGTAGGCGTGATTGTCAGGGCAGGGCCGCGGTGGTGTCTGGTGATCTGGTTGTTGAACTGCCTGGTCGAAAAAGAGTGGTGAATTTGATTTGAAAAGTGGTGAATTCAAAGTGAAAATGGTATGTATTCAATTTTCGTGATGTCACATTAGACTTCCTATCTTGACCTTCTTGATTAAATATTAGGTTGGCGGGAAAGTTCTGTCACATTTTTCAAATTGGGCTTTCTTTTTATAGAGAGGCGTGTAAAAAATTGTACAGCAATGTTACTGCGGGGTCCTTGCCAGTTTTTGAGCACCTCATGGATGCCATCGCTTCACAATGCAGGGAGGCGCGACGCAAAGTTGGACATCATCTCAATCTTGACTTGAACTCGGGTTATGGAGGTTTTCTCGTCCACATAACGATTGAGTACGGGAGGCAACTTGCAGTTAGAAGGAGCAATGTCTGTGCTACACCAGTGCAAGGGGAGAGCCATCCAGCTCTATTGCATGAGGTACGGCTCGAACTTTTTTGGACGGAGTGCGCTGCACTATCATGATGAGGGCGGGCTGTGCGGACAAATTTTTCCCTTCTGATCGACGGTACGCTTTAAATCTCGTAGCTGCGTACGCATTGACCGAGGAAGCAGCTTCTTCATCCAGCAGTTTCCCGACCCATAGCTCCCTCAAGCTGAGTTGCAGGTAACCCAAACCTCACTTCGTCATCAAAACTGTAGGCTCCCTAGGCTCCCGCCTTGAAGCATTACCGTCGTGGGAAGGTTGCCCGATGATTGAGGGCATCGTCCTTATTCAGCTCCATTATTTTGGCATCTGCAGCTATCATGCTGGCGTCAGGGTGGTGGAAGAAAGAGTTTGAGGAAGCGTCTGGAGGGGTCGGTGCCGATGGTAGCGGATAAAATCCTTGTCCATATTGCAGAAGAAGAAGCAGGAGTCAAGCGAGTGGTACTAATAGAAAGACCACTCCTTGATGTATAAGTGCTTACATTACCGGTTACCCTCTTGGTAATGGGCAAGTATTTTGAGTTCGAAAAAGTGACAGAACTTTCCCGCCAACCTAATACAATGATTGCTCAAGAAAAAGCTCTCTCTCTCTCGCTCATGGATGGAATGCTTTGGGCTTATTTGCGACCTGATAGCACCCTTCACATCCTGACTGCGCACTGCTTTGACTCAAGTGTATGTGGATTTAACGCCAGCTACCCGTAAGTTAAGACTAGCCTCCCCTCTTACGATGGAACCTCCCTAGGGAGAGACACTGCTCGCTCACTGTGCGAGATCAGACGCGACGACAAGGGGCATATTTAGAGCATTGCAATTGTTTAGCTGCGTTTTCTTCAACTGGAGAAGAAGCAGCACCCATCAATTTATATTCGATCCCATTACCCACTTCCAGTTGTTGTGAGTTTTACCTTCAGAATAAAGAATAAAGTCTTCGCCGTTGATCAATCCCTTTTTGGGATGCGGCACGCATTCTACTTCCATTCAGAATCGTAGTGGCTTATTGAATGCGATGTGGCCTATACAATGACTTGCGGTGGCCAGCCGATGTACAAGCTAGTATCTGGTCTTCCCTGAGAAATGTGATATCAGCTACTTTCCATGGGGGGTAGAAAGCTTGATTAGAATCGGCAGGAGCCCATCAAAGAGTTGAAGCGCGTGGTAGGCGTGCCGCTTGCCACTACGCCACTTCTGCCAGCAGTTTATTAGAGATGATGATTTTTACGATTATCTGACCGAAACGTCTTGTGAAGCTTATGAGTAGTGGTGAGAATGTAAAATTGAGCCGCACAGATGGTGATAAACAGTAGAAGGAAACGGTACCTTCAATTCCTGTAGTACTTGTCGCTGAAGGAACGATTCGAGGTTGAAGGGTCGCTTGGGAGGTAGTTGCTTGAGGAGGAATAGGAGTTGATTTGATTGAAACAGGCAAGCCGGCTGGGCAGCTGCTATCATTTTAATCGAAACCCTGGAAAGAGATGAAAATATTGGATTTTTTCGACAATTGTTGCAAAGGCAAAACAAAAGATGGGTGAATTTTCAAATCCCAAAAAGAAAACAGTAAAAAAGCGAAAGGAAGCGCGACGACTGTGGGCCAACATGCCCAAAAAACACAGATCGCGCTCACTGACAAACAGGACTACAATTGGACTCAACTTAGATTCCAGCAGATATTTCTTGGCCAATTCCATATTTCCTTGAGCTTTTGCTTGCATTGCTGCATGCCTGAACTCGTTCTGCCGCTTTAACAAGAATTCCAGTTGGGTAGTGTTCCTTGATTTCCCAGGTTGTCCTGATGGAGCCAATGGTCCAACAGCCGGCGGTGGGCGCACTGAAATATACTACGTTGAGAAATCCCGACTCAAAGGATGAGCACTACAAAGAAAAGTTGTTACTTCCTGGAGCTGGACCCTTCGGAACGGCTCCTTGCGGTTTCTGCGGGGGTAACGGCGGCATGTCGGGGAGTGAAGGGAGGTCAGCAACCGCCACAGGACGTCCTGCCTTAGCGTCTCTAATAGCTGCAGCATATTGTTCAGCCATCCGATTATTCATCCTGAATAAATATACACAAATAAATAAATATGTGAATAAATATAAATAAATGGGAAATAATGAAGAAAACGTTAATCACTAAAAAGGCTTTCGTAGCAGACCTGGCCTTCCTGTCATTGCCTTCTTGAGCTGCCTTCCTTGCTAATGCCTGGAATCTTTCCAATCGACTCTGAAGTCCATCGACAAATGTTGCAGGTTTCTCGACTTTCTCGACCCTCCTGTAAGGTGGTGGAGACGGCGGAACATCCGCCAAGTCCAGCTCGTCCGCACTGGCAGTGTCCAGGGCTGCTAACGCCTGAACAGTCTCCTATTTACACCATGGATCATGGTGCAGGTAATAAATACTGAAAAGATTATCAAAAGTGATTATCCTTTGTTCTGATGAATTTAGCAAACCGTTATTCGGTCAAATAGAATACCTGGTCGAACATTTTTGCCACTTCGACGTACTGCTTTGCAGCTGTCTTGTCCATGGCCGCTACTGCTGCCTAAAAAGTACAATTTATCTATGGTTAAGGTAATACCCTGGTACGGTACAGCAGGAATCTTCAACTTTTTTTCAGTTTCCCGTTAGCTTTTTACGTTCCGTTCGGCCTAGTAAATCTGTATCTTCCTCGCTGGGCATCGTTTTTTGCCTAAACTATTAGGTTGTCCGGAAAGTTCTCAGCGTTTTGTGCACCTATTTTTTGTACATTCACTGCTGATTAAAAACTCATTCTGCCTTGCTTCTCAGTAGCACATCCTGTAGAGAATTTCTTGCGCTATCTGATGGTATAATTGCCGTTTCATCACTGCTTGATAAACCCCCTTTTTCCAAGATTTTTTCAAGCATGTGAAAAGAGCACTTCGGACGATTTTTTTCTTCGACTATAAATTGGGGCAATCCGCAATCGAAACAGCTCAACAAATTAACCAGGTGTGGGGGCCCAATAGTGCTAGAGAAAGCACTGTGCGGCAATGGCTCAACAAATTTCGTTCTGGAGATTTCAGCCTTGAAGATGAACCTCATAGCGGTCGACCTAAAGCAATATCTGACGAGGATTTTAGGGGGATTTTGGAGGCTGACCCATCCCAAACAGTTCGAGAGATAGCAGAAGAGCTAGGCCTTGGCAAATCCACTGTTGCAGATGGTCTGGAACGCATTGGGAAGGTGAAAAAAAAACTCGACAATTGGGTGCCCACAATCGGAGTGACCGGCAGGAATCGGCACGTCTCGAGGTTCCTTCTGCATTGCTTTTGCGCAGCAGAAACGACCTGTTTTTGGGCCGAATTGTCACCTGTGATGAAAAATGGGTCATGTATGATAACAGGAGACGTTCCGGACAGTGGTTGGATTTCGACGAACCACCGAGGTAATTTTCAAAGCCGAACCCTCACGAAAAAAAAAGATTCTGGGTCACGGCTTGGTGGTCATCGCTGGTGTGATCCACTATAACTTTTATCACCAGGCCAAACCATCACAGCAGAGTCCTACTGTGAAGAAATCGACGAAATTTTACCCGAAAATTGCGTCAGCTGGCAGCCAGCATTTGTCAAAGAAAGGGTCCGATTCTTTTGCATGACAACGCCCGCCCACACGTTTCAAATCACTATCCATAAATTGAACGAATTGGGGGTTGAAGTTCTACCTCACCCGCCATATTCTCCAGACCTTTCACCAACCGACTATCACCTTTTCAAACATTTTCAGAACTTCCTTGCTGGAAAATACTTCATCAATCAGGACCAGGCAAAAAAGCCTTCGTGGATTTCGTGAATTTTCGACCACCCAGTTTTTTACTTTGATGGGATTTCTCGACTGCTGTCACATTGGCAAAAGTGTGCTGATTCGAATGGTGCCTATTTCGATTAAATCCGATGAGTATTAAAAAAGTTACGATCGTTTAAAGTGAAACACCCAAAACGCTGAGAACTTTCCGGACAACCTAAATACTTTGATGGGGATTTCGCCCACTGCTGCTCACACTGCCCAAAGTCGTGCGTGATTCGAATGGTGCTTATTTGGATTAAATCCGATGAGTATTAAAAAAGTTACGATCGTTTAAAGTGAAACACCCAAAACGCTGAGAACTTTCCGGACAACCTAATACTAACTGAATGACCTTAATTTGCCCTTACAAGGAAAAAACTCACTTTTCCGTTCGCCACATATGCGTCTCGTCTTCTTTTCAAGACCTTCAGAACTTGCTCCTTTCGCAAGTCAGCACTCTTTTGCTGGAAATCGAAGAGTTGCATTTGCAAAAGGCCTACCCTAGAATGAGCTCTCACCGACCGGGCTTTCTGGAGGCAGTGATGAGGATGAAGTTCGCCGCGGGACTGGCGGCGGCGCAGCTTCGCTGGATCCTTGGATGACTCCTGAAGTGCTCCTTCTTGGTACTGGAGGAGGTTGCATGGCATGAGGGGGAGGAGGTGGAGCATGGCGAGGAGGTAGCTAAAAAGAGCCTCTGTCAGTGATGAAAAGGCTCGTTCGTACAAAACACCAAAGATAACACTCACTAATTAAAAAAGGGGCTGAAATTAGTACACTTGGAAAATGAAGAATTACGAGTGTGCAGAAAGCAAAATAAAAAAGAAAATTGGGCGCTTTTCCATGAAGAATGCAATGAAGGCACGCTTCACCTTCACTTGATGCTCAGGCCCCTTCTTTGGACGTGGCAGTCCTGCCTGCAAGCATGTAGAACTACTTTCTCAACCCAATATTACCTAAGGAATGCGCCGCCCGCTCGCGACAGGACCACGATTCTGCCCACTGGCCCGGTGACGCCCAAGTTTCATTTCTGCTTCCTGGTGGAGCGGTGGTTACTTTACAAACTCCGTTCATTTCGGATCGTGAAAGTGAGGTGATAAGGAAAAGAGCTGACGCCAGCACAAATTTATGAACTTGTCCAACCACGCCCTTCATTAGCCTTACTAATTCAATTTACTCATTTGCTAAAGTTATGCAGTTAAACTCAGTAACGGAAGTTATTCCTACCGGCTTCCTATGTGGTAAAAAAAAACTAAGACGACTAACCGTGGGTTCACTGGAAGGAGGGGTAAATGAAGGTGGTGCCGGAGGAATTTCTGACTCGTCAATGCTTTCACCGCGTTCAGCTTTAACGATCAACTCCTTCAGTCTGTCAACGGTTCGTTGGTGCCTACAATATCAATCGGTCTCTCTGTAAAAAGTAAGAGGGAATGCGACCCACATACCTTCTTTGTTTCACCGCATTCCCTTCTTTGGCGCTAGCGGCGAGCATTTTCTCATACACATCCTTTAATCCGCGAAGTTTGGTTATCAGAGCGACGTCTCGTGTACCTGATGGCGGCGGTCTGGGAAGCGGGGCAGATGCGGTTGCATCCGCTATTGGAGGCCCTTCCTCTTCACTTCCCCCTATCAGGCCAGACAGTTCAGCCTAAACACTAGGAATACAGTGTATTTCCAATTCACAAGGTAGCGCTCCTGAAAAGAAAGATATACCAGTAATTCCGGATCATTCTCCAGCGTGCTCTCATCTATCTCAACATCATCGGCCAAGGCTTTCGAAAGCAAAGTGGGATCCACACCTGGTAAAAAAAGTAGCTCGACTTCATTGAAACGAATATAAGGTAATTGAATGGAGTTGATTGTTTTGAAAACTACACAGCGAACAAAGAGAGAGCAATTTCAATGAGTAAACTCGACACTCCTTTAAAAAAATTACGTCTGCAATATATGTGTCGATTGTGGTTGCGATCAGGTGCGAACTCGTTTAGACTCCCGCGGCAAGCACTATTATGCACAATAAAAGTCACTTGTCGAAAAATGCCCTTGATTACCACATACTGTGTGAAGGCAGCTCGCGCAGCGAAAGTGACCCCACTTTGAAGACAAACTGTTCATTCTTCTCCGAAAATCCCAGCCCTTGTCATGCGCGAGGTGGGTAGGTCCTCAGCTGCAGTAATGTGCCACTTTCTCTTAAAAACGCACGGGAAACGGCTGGAGGGTAGTGACAACCGGGTGAAATCGTCCGACTCTATCCGCGCTTTTTTGGAACGTGCAGCATTCCCGTCGATAGCAAGTTACCGCAGCCAAACGCGCACTCAGCAGTAGAGAACAACAAGAATCGAGAGAGAGAGAGAGAAAAGACAAGCAGCGTGTATGGCTAAAGTCAGGTGTGTGGCTGGCTGCGATCCAGTGCGGGCGGAGTACGAACACGGCACACGGCTGTCAGTACTGTCCAGCTATATTCTCGTGCATTTCTCAGCGGAGAAACTGGCACTATACTGCAGCTAAGGCATTCTTCTCGCACACAGCAAATCAGAATAATTGGAGGTGAGCGAAGAAATCGGTTTCAGAGGAGTATAGGGAAGTTGCTAAAAACGAACAAGCAGTAAGAACTATTCACACGAAAAATAGGGAAATTCTCTACTAGCTTCGGGATTTGGGGTCACGACTGAAAAACTAACGAATAGGTCTCTCTTACCTAAAGGAGCACCACCTCTTGGTTTGACAGTCATAGCTGGTGCAGGCCTAGCAGGCGGTGGAGCATTTCGTCTGAAATATAAATGTGTAGATAGATACAGTTCCTCGGTGAAAGAGACACAAAATAAAACGAGAAAAATATAATGGATAAACTGTGAACTATGTAAATAGACAAAAATTAAAGTAGAATTCAGCGAATCATATAAAATTCATTAAGAATCAGAAATTAGAACGAACCTTTGTTTGGCCTCCTCTTCCTGCTGAAGAGCAAGAAGTTCAGCCATTAACTCTTCATCCTCTTCAACATTACCCCCATAGATCGTTTTTTCGATTTCAGAAAAATCCATTTTCTCCAATTTTTTACTTGGTCGAGAACTTCAAAAAAATTAAGCAAATAGCAAGACACGGGTTGAAAGATATTTAAGCGAAACTGGAGTGAGAAGAAGGTATTCTGCGAAAAAGACGCGTCTGCACCACCTCAACTCTTTAAGTACTATACCAATTTATTTTGATTAAATACTCTGATATCATAGCAGTACAATCACAAGATACGCTCAGATGGGCAATACTGGCAAACATAAAAACATATTAAGATATGTTATCACAATCAGTTTGAAGGGGTACGAGATGGTCCAATGAGACGAACTTTTCCAGTAGCTGAGTCCACTTCAACATCTATACCGAGTTCTTTCAGGAGCTTCTGCCGATCTATGATTCCCGTAGGCTTCTGAAAATGAGCTCATATTGAAAAAAACTTATACATAGGGAAAAAACAGTTTAGCTATGTGAATCGGGATCAATTTTTTTCATGGGCCCAAGCTGGGTAACTATGAGAACCAAAATCGGATGACCAGGAGTTCTGCAGAACACCAAGAAAAAGATCAGAATTTTATAAAATGCGATCAGTAAATAATGATAAAACAACAAATCCGACCTGGTCCATTTCAAGAATAAACTTTTGGTTTTCCGGACATCCCAGGCATAAGTGACGTAGTGCTGCGATTGACCACTGAACCTTAAGTAGGCTAACAACAGTCAAAATGCTATCTGCCAGCAACAGTTTCAGCTGAACATCCAGAAAAGTGATTGAAATGCCAAAAGATAAAGAGTTATTCGAAGACTGCAATTCCTCTTTCGAGGTGCCCCACGTACTCTACTCTCACCGAGGATCCTCATGCATTCTTAATGCGATCTGGTCTAAGCGCAGTGCCAGCAGTCCACCAGGGAGAGTTGAAAGGGTTGATAGGCTCGGGCTAAAGCTGCTACATCCATGGGCAGGATCATGCCCGAACGCTTACGAAAGTGGTTTAGCCTCTTGAAACATATCCGACAGAAAAAGAACGAAAAATGGCGAGTTCTCTAAGTCACATTCGCATTTCTCCACAAACTTCAGTGCACAACGGAATAATCCCAAAAAAGTAACAAGTACTGAAGCAAGACAAATGAGAAAACATACAATAAAAGGCTTGTCGTTCTCAGTGAGTCTTGCACAACGAAGAACGGCTAGAACCGCTCCTCTAGCGCCAGCCACTACACGCAATGAAGGTCTATCACAGCAAAGATTACCTAGAAAATAAAAAGAAACCGATACAGAAAGCTAATAAGAAAAGGAAGCAATAGGTGAGTTAAGTCAAGTGTTGCTGTTCTCGAAATAAACACTATCAACATATCGTACCGGTTGTTAAAGGAAAGCTCAAAAGCGGAAAGGTTAAACAATCAGCATACCAATCGCTCGAACCGCTGCGCACTTCAGTGTCGCTCGTACTTCCATCGGTGAGTCACGTACAGCAGCTGATAGCGCAATCAGCTGTGGGCAGTCTTGCAATCGCATACATCGAACTTCTCGCTGTCTCTGGGGACGATCTGGATGAGGTTGAGGAGTCGGCTGCACACATCCTTCGTTTTCGTCAACCCATTGTGCATCGAGAACCTAAAGCTTTGAACCTCTTATGACTCTCAAACACATGGACGTCTTTCAAGACATGGAGCGCTTCTCGAAACGATTTAGCACAGGTGCTAGGGGAAGGGACACAGACCGAACGGAATGTTCTTTGTGCGTACTTCTAGGAACCAAAGCAAGGATCGATGGCTTGAATCACCATGAATACAAAATTTTGCATTCCTGAGATTTCTATTTTCTTTTTCGTATATGACCAAAAACTATGTCTAAGCAAGAAAGAACCGCGCAGAACAAAGTGCCACAAAACAAGAATACTCAATCCAAAGGACAAAGCGCCCTCTATGCCCAAGCTCGTACTTCAGCCCTTTTCGGCGTTTCCGGAAGCGCGCAGAAAAAACTACACTTCTGCGGTCTACGCATGTGTCCCTACGAGATGTAACGAACTGTGATAAAAACGCTCCATGACTTTTAGGGCTCCCTTCTCAGTGTAACTTCTTACCGATTCCAAAATATCCACAATGTTTTCCATCGCATCTGGTCGATCCAATAGCTGCGCAGAATATTCCGTCTCTCTCAAAGCCGCTGATGCTAAACTTTCACTACTGCTGATATCTTTCTATATAGAAACTAGATTTTCATTAGAGGCACATTTTGCGATTTGCTTTACGAAGCAATGCCCTCTGTGTGAAAAGGTGGTGTGGCTACCAAAAAATAACCTCGTACCAGTTCAACGACAGAACGTTGCAAGTTGATGCCGTATAAGGCGTAAGGTTGCCTAAATGATTCAATCAGGTGACTCGGCCCAGCGCTGAGGTTTGTCACATGGCTATACTCTAGCTAGTAGTGACTGGCCTCCCGTCCAAAATCCCAACTGAATTTCGCCTTTCGTTTGAGACAAGGGGGGGGGGCTGTTTAGGTAGTATTTTAACGCTTTTTCACTACAAGTCGACAAGCATATAGACAACCACATGCACATCTACGTACGAATTTTCGCTAGCTTATCACGAAATGTGCCTTCGAGAGAAATATTATATTGCTTCGCACCTACAGCCTCCACAGCGTACGCGATTTGCTCAACGAATGGTAGCCTCTTTTCAGACGGCACTCCCTTACCGAATTCGTACAGGATTCGTTCCAGTAATGCCACACAAAAGGCAATATTATTCGCATGGACCTGAACGCTTTTCGTTGATCACAAGAATGTAGAGAGAAAAACAAGAAAGCTCTGGAAAAATTGTGATGAGATGGAATAGAAAATCTCATTCCCAAAATTTTCGGGAGATCCTTCACTCTTTTACAGGAATTGCAGTACAGCAGAACTCAAGAAAGAACAGCTAACACGACGCCATTCCTTTCTTTGGGACAACACGTTTAGAAATAGCACAAAGGATTCGAGCAGGTCGAACGGTGATAGAGGGGATGACAAAAGGCAGTGTTCGTAGGCCCAGAAAGAAGTGCCCAAATTTGAGAACACATGAGAAAAGCAAACAGAGGCAGCAGTCACATGAATAACGGCAGAATATAAAGTAGAACTTTTCCTCAATTTTCACTGTAGAGTCGAACAGTAATGAAAACGCTTAATAGGGGACTGATGAAGGAGGATAAGAGGGAGCAGACAGTCCAAGTATTAGGTCATCCCATTCAAAAGTGCCGTGACATATAGAGGAATGGCAGAAAAGCAAAGGGGATAGGGAAGCGGGCTACTATACCATTTGGAGGCTAGTACCTTTAGCTGTGTATCTGTGAAATTTGGCGAACCTACCCACAGAAGAAGTTCTCGAGAAATTGAAAAGAAGCCCGAGTGGTGAAAATCAGCGCCGGATTTTCAAATCAGACGTCATAAGAGGGAAGTGCGCTGCTCAAATTCGACCGGCATCGGATCAGTAGTTGTAGTAATGGTGTTCTCGATATACAAAGTGGGAGGTTTGGTTCAGGAGCCCGAAGAAGGAAGAAAGGAAGAAATTTGTTGTCGTGGATGGTCCCATAATGTTCATGCTGCACAAGAAAAAAAAAGGTGGATGAAG